GATGAGTGGGGGTGGGGACCTCAGCCTCACCATGCCTCCCACAGGGAGCTCTCCCCAGTAAAGTTCTGGATGCTTCTTCCTCCTGAGACCCCTGAGCTGACCCAGGGCTGCCCCTCATGTCTTGTGGGGCAAAGAATTCTGGCGCTGGCCTGACCCTCTCCCAGTGGCCCACTGTGGACAACCCTGGGTCTGCAGGCAGCTAGGGACGGTGGTCTAACGCAATGTAAAACCTGTGGGGGACATGTGAGGCCTAATTCTGGGTGTCTGGCAGTGAAGCACTATGAAGGACACAGCATGGTCCATGAAACATTACTGCCAAAATGTTCCACCCGACTCCATCAAGCCTGTAGGTCGACTTCCACTTGATACGATATAAAAGAGGGAGAACAAGACAGCAGCAGAGGGGGGTATGGGTCTCAGAGATGTGGCAGAATCTCTTCAAGTCAATATCACTTTTTTTTTTAAAGAGACAGGGTCTCATTTTGTTGTCCAAGCTAGAGTGTAGTGGCGTAATCACACCTCACGGCAGCCTAGAACTCATGGGCTCAAGCAATCCTCCTGTCTCAGCCTCCCAGGTAGCTGAGACTACAGTCTTGTACTACCATGACCAGCTAATTTTTTAAATGTTTTGGTAGAGATACAGTCTCATTATGTTGCCCAGGCTGGTCTTGAACTCCTGGTCTGAAGCAATCTTCCTGCTTTGGCCTCCCGAAGTGCTGAGATTACAGGTATGAGCCAGCATGCCTGACTTTTTTTTTTAATTAAAGAGAAAGAGAGAGAGAGAGGAGATTATTATAGAATAAAGAAAGCTTGGCTGGGCGTGGTGGCTCACCTCTATAATCCCAGCACTTTGGAAAGCTGAGGTGAAAGGATTGCCTGAGCCCATGTGTTCGAGACCAGCAGGCAACCTGGTAAGACCTCATTTCTACAATAAATCAAAAAATCAGCCAGGTATAGTGGTACGTGCCTGTAGTTCCAGCTACGTGGAAGGCTGAGGCGGAAGGATCACCTGAGCCCAGCAGGTCAAGACTGTGGTAGTTGAGTATGCCACTGCCCTTCAGCCTGGGCAACAGAATGAGTCTCCAACTCAAAAGAAAAAGAAAAGAAAGCTAAGGCCGGGCACCAATGACCATGATTGCCCAATTGCCCTCCAGCCTGAGCAACAGAGTGACAGTCTGACTCAAAAAAAAAACAAAAAAACCTCAGGCATGGTGATTCACACCTGTAATCCCAGCACTTTGGGAGGCCGAGGTGAGAGGATTGCCTGAACCCACGGGTTTGAGATCAACCTGGGCAACCTTGGTGAAACCTCATCTCTGCAATAAGTCAAAAAATTAGCTGGGCTTGTTGGCACGTGCCTATAGTTCCAGCTATTTGAAAGGCTGGGGCGGAAGGATCAACTGAGCTCAGCAGGTCGAGGCTGTGGTGCCCGTGAGTGTGCCACTGCGCTCCAGCCTGAGTGGCAAAGCAAGACTCCAACTCAAAAAAGAAGATAAAGCAAAAGGAAGAAAAAAGAGCAACGCAGAGTGGTTCACGCCTATGAGCCCAGCACATTGGGAGGCGAAGGTGAGAGGACTGCCTGAGCCCAGGGGTTCAAGACTAGCCTGCACAACTTGGCAAGACCTCGTTTCTACAATAAATCAAAAAATGAGCTGGGCGTGGTAGCACATACCTGTAATTCCAGCTACTTGGAAGGCTGAGGTGGAAGGATGGCTTGAGCCCAACAGGTCGAGGTTGTGGGGGCTGTGAGCATGCCACTGCTCTCCAGCCTGGGTGACAGAGTGACACTCTGACTCAAAAAAAAAAAGAGAACCAACTAGATATGATGCATGAAAATGATTTGGGGCCGGGCTCAGTGGCTCAGCCTGTAATCCCGCACTTAGGGAGGCCGAGACTAGTGGGTTGCCTGAGCCCCTGGGTTCGAGACCAGCCCAGGCAACTTGGTGAGACCTCGTCTCCACAGTAAATCAAAAAATTAGGTGGGCATGGTAGTGCGCACTTGTAGTTCCGGCTACTTGGAACACTGAGGTGAAAGGATCACGGGAGCCCAGCAGGTAGATGCTGAGGTGGCCGTGAGAGTGCCACTGTACTCCAGCCTTGGTGATGAAGTGAGATTCCAACTCAAAAACAAAAAAAAAGAAAATGATTTGGATCTTGTTTTCACTGTGCCAGCTGCAACCTTTTGGAACAATTGGGGAATTTGAAGATGGTCTGGATTTTATTTATTTATTTATTTTGAGTTGGAGTCTCATTCTGTCACCCAGACTGGAGTGCAGTGGCCGTTCCCGGCCACCACAGCCTCGACTTGCTGGGCTCCGGCAATCCTTCCGCCTCAGGCTTCCAAGTAGCTGGAACTACAGGTGCGTTTTTTGATTTATTGTTGAGATGAGGTCTCGCCAAGTTGCCCAGGCGGGTCTCAAACCCCTGGGCTCAGGCAATCCACTCACCTCAGCCTCCCAAAGGCGCGGGATTACAGGCTGAGCCACCGAGCCCGGCTGATGGCCTGGGTTTTAAAAGCTATTAAGGAATTGTTAATTTTGTCAGAAGTGATCACGGTCGAAATGTCATCTTTTAGCAATGCATACCAAAATGTTTATGTATAGACTTAAAGGTCATGAGTGAGGGAAACTTACTTTAAAAATGCTCAGCGCAGGTTGCATACAACTGTTAGAACTCTCTGAACGTCAAGCTCTAGAGCTGTGTATTTTTATTTATTTATTTATTGAGTTGGGGTCTCACTCTGTTGCCCAGACTGGAGTGCAGTGGCTGCTCCCGGCCGCTGCAGCCTCGACCTGCTGGGCTCCGGCGACCCTTCCACCTCAGCCTTCCCAGTAGCCAGAATTACAGGCACGCACTACCACGCCCGGCTAATTTTTTGATTTTATTGTAGAGATGAGGTCTCGCCGCCCAGGCGGGTCTCGAACCCGTGGGCTCAGGTAATCCACTCACCTCAGCCTCCCAAAGGCGCGGGATTACAGGCTAAGCCACCGAGCCCGGCAAGGGCTGTGTATTTTTATATGCAAATTATACTTCAATGAAAAAAACTTCACATATGAAAAAATAGATGAGCAAATATTGCCACGCGCTCACAGACGCCATGGTGTGGGGATGTGGCTCAGCCTCCTGTTCTCTCCACTGAAACTTTTCATAATAAAAAGGAGGAAGGAAAAAGTGAATTTGCCCATGGCATTCATGGTTGGGCTGCAGGCAGAGCTGAGGGACTGCCCTTGTCCTGTTCCCCCTTCTTGGGCTCAGTGTTATTTCACTTTTATTTTTATTTTCTAGAGACAGAGTCTCACTCTGTCACTCAGGCTGGAGTGCAGTGGCACCATCATAGCTCATTGCAGCCTCAAATGCCTGGGCTCAGTTGAACCTCCAGCCTCAGCCTCCTGAGCAGCTGGAACTACAGGTGCACACCACGATGCCCAGTTAATTTTGTAATGTTCTGTAGAGACGAGGTCTTGTTATGTTGCCCAGGCTGGTCTTGACTTCCTGGCCTCAAGTGATCCTCCTGCTTTGGCCTCCCAAAGTGCTGGGATTACAGGCAGAAGCCATTATACCAGCCTAAAAGAACCAATTTAATTGTTTATTATTGAGTCAGGGTCTCACTCTGTGGCTACTCTGTGGTCCAGCATGGCCATGGGCTACCATAGCCTCCAACTCCGGGGCTCAGATGATCCTTCTCCCCTAGCCTCCCAAGTGGCTGGGACATGTGCTACCATGTCCGGCTAATGTTTTTTTTTTTTTTAAAGAGACAAGGTCTCACGGTGTTGCCCAGGCTGAAGAGAGTCATTTTAAATTGCAGATACCCATGTGGAGGTTTCAAAACATACCATCACAATCTGAAGCTGCCTTTCTGGGCCATGCTGCACCTGTGAACAAGGCCATTTTTGTAAAAAAGAGTGAGAAAGAGACACCCCAACAGACCTGGGCACCTGCTATGTGCCAGGAACTAGGCAAGAACATTTACAGTCACCTTGTTCAATCTTCCCCCCAAACCCCTGGATAGGTGCTGCTGCCACCTTCATTTTATAGAGGGGAAAACTGTGGCTCAGAGCGGCAGTGCCACCTGCTCAGACTGATTTGTCCAGCTCCCGACTCTGAGTCTCTCCTCCACCTCAACCCACCAAGGAAGTGCCAGGCAATCCGGCAGCCCCGCATGAATGAGCTGGATCTTCTTTTACATATACTCTGGGGGGCTCATTACACAAAAGCATCCTCTTGCAAATTCTGGAACTTAAAAACAAAACAAAAAGGATGTATGCCCTCCTGATTTATCCTTCAAGAAAACCTACACTTCATGCCTGTGCCAAGATATGCACGTACTGGGCCGGGCGTGGTGGCTCAGGCTTGTAATCCCAGCACTTTGGGAGGGTGAGGCGAGAGGATTGCCTGAGCTCAACAGTTCAAGACCAGCCTGGGCAACTTGATGAGACCTCGTCTCTACAATAAATCAAAAAATAAGCTGAGTGTGGTAGTGCGCGCCTGTAGTTCCAGCTACTTGAAAGGCTGAGGCAAAAGGATCTCCTGAGCCCAGCAGGTCAAGGCTGCAGTAGCCGGGAGTGTACCACTGCACTCTAGCCTGGGCAACAGAGTGAGACTTGAACTCAAAAAAAAAAAAAAAAGATATGCACATATGTGTATAAGCAGCTGACCCACAGGCCCAGTCTGAGATTATGTTAATTAATGAAAGTAAGCACTAATGTTTAATGAGTGGCTGTCCAAGCCTCGCCTGCTAACCTGGTAACAGTGTGACCCTGGTACCTGGGCTAGCTTCAGCTGAGTCTCATGGACTAAACGGCCAGATGCAGACACCCTCTCTGTCATCTCCTACTGTACTCATTCTCCCATATGAAACCTTCCAGAAAACTCACCAGGTGGCCCACATCCTTCCCTGACCTTCACATGTACATGCACACCCTGTGGTCTGACTTGGCTTTGGCTATTCATGAACTAAAATAGATACGATACTGAGATGGTGAACAGGGTTCCTGTGTCCCGGGACCTGGTTTGTTTGGCATTCTAGACTTTTCTGGCGTGTTCATCCAGGCTGCTCCAGACCGCAACCCTGGATTCTGCTTTCAAAGGACCTTGAATGCCAGCGCTGGTACTGGAAGTTATCGAACTCACTAACTGGGCAAGGACATCACCCCTCTGAGCCTTAGATTTTCCATCTGTAAAATGGGGCTTATGAGATTCAAATGAGGTAATTCATGAAATGGGCACAGTGTGATGCCTGGCACACTGTGACGGTTTCCTTAAACATGAGCTGTTAACATGCCAAGGCTTCTAAGGAACTGTTTTATTTAATCCTCACAGTCACTTTCTGGAACAGGCACTACCACCTCCATTCTACAGATAAAAGCTAAACAGACCTGAAGGTAGAAGTTAAGTAAGTAGCCCAAGATCACACAGCTGGAGGTGGCAGGGGTATGGGAAACAGGATTTGAATCCAGGTGAATCCTGACTTCTGCCCTGAAAGACCCTGAAATTCTATGATCCAACCTCGGTCCTGAGCCAGGCCTGGGGTCTCCTCGATTGAGAGAAAGAGGTTGAGAAGTAACGAGGCTGTACATCCCAGCTCAAGAAAATGAAACGTATCCCAACTATGATCCTGCAGTCAGCCCGGGAGCTTTCTAGACATGTTAAGCAGCAGCAAACCCCCTGAGCTTTTTTATTTTTTTTTAAGAGTCAGGGGCTTGCTCTGTTGCCCGGGCTGGAGTGCAGTGGTGCAATCATAGCGCACTGCAGCCTCGAACTCCTGGGCTCAAGCCATCCTCCCATCTCAACCTCCTGAGTAGCTGGGATTACAGGAGCACGCCACCACACCCGAATGTTTTTGTTTTTTTTTTTCATTTTGTAGAGATGAGGTTTCACTATGTTGCCTAGGCTGATCTCAAACTCCTGGGTTCAAGCACTCCTCCCACCTTGGCCTCCCAAAGTGCTGGTATTAGACATAAGCCACCGCACCTGGCCCCCTCTGTGCTTTTCTGAAGCTAGTTCGGCAACCAGCCAGCCTCCCTGCCCTCAGAGCTGGTGACTGAGTTTTCCAGACCAGTGAGTCTGGGCACATGGGGAAACTACTGGTCTTCCTCCCTCAGAACAACTCAGCCCTGGATCTAGAGGCGTCGGAAACTCCAGCAAACCAATTCACCTAGTTAGTTTCCTCATTTTGTTATTTATCTGATACCGCCTTGCTGTACCAAAGGGTTGGGGTGGTCAAAAGTACAAAGACATTTAAATTAGGATCAAGAGATGAAAAAGGCAGGGGTTGCGGGCTCTTGGCCCAGCAGGCCGACAGGTAACAACAGAGAGGTGGTGAACCAGGTGGGCCTGGAGAGGCCATGCCCTTAAGGGACAACAGCCTCGGCTTCAGACACCCACTGCCTCAGGGAAGGCATGCCTGGGCTGCCATGTCTGATTTCTCAAAGAATGGCAGTAATGCAGATTTCCTGGCTTCTAAATACCGGAAGTGAACTCCATTTTTTTTTTTTAGTCGGAGTCTCACTCTGTTACCCATGGGCTCAGACAATCCTCTCACCTCAGCCTCCTCAAGTGCTGGGATTACAGGTGGTGAGCAACCACACCAGCCAATTTAATAATTTTACAACTTTAGACTGGGCACAGTGGCTAAAGCCTACAATCCCAGCACGTTGGGAGGCACAGGCGAAAGGATTGCCTGATCCCAGGGGTTTGAGACAACTTGGTGAGACCTAATCTCTACAACAAATCAAAAAAACTAGCCAGGTGTGGTGGCGCATGCCCGTGGTTCCAGCTACTTGGAAGGCTGAGGGGGAAGGATCCCCTGAACCCAGCAAGTCGAGGCTGTGGTGAGCATGCCACTGCATTCCAGCCTGGGCATCAGAGTAAAAGACTCCAACTTGAAAAATTAAAAACAAAACAACAACAATAAAAAAAACAACTAGCTGGGCATGGTGGCACATGCCTGTAGTTCCAGCTGCTCGGAAGGCTGAGTGAGGTAGAATGATCACCTGAGCCTAGCAGGTTGAGGCTGCCATGGCTGTGAGTGTGCCACTGCACTCAATCCTGGGTGACAAAGTGAGACTCCAATTCAAAAAAATAAAAATAAAAATAAAAGATAGGGTCTTATTGCTCAGGCTGTAGTACAGTGGCTATTTCACAGGCATGATCACGGCACGCAATATTCTTAAACTCCTGGCTTTAAGCAATTCTCCTGCATCTGCCTCCCTAAGTTATACCTTTTATTTATCTATTTTTTGGAGTTAGAGTCTCACTCTGTCACTCAGGCTGGAGTACAGTGGCATGCTTACGGTCACAGCAGTCTCAACCTACTGGGTTCAGATGATCCTTCTGCCTCAGCCTTCCAAGTAGCCAGAACCACAGATGTGTGCCACTATACTTGGCTAACTTTTTTTATTTACTGTAGAGACAAGGTCTCACCAAGTTGCCCAGGCTGGTCTCGAACCCATGGGCTCAGGCAATCCTCTCGCCTCTGCCTCCTAAAGTGCTGGGATTATGGGCATAAGCCACCATGCCCAGCTAAGTTATATCTTTTAAAATAAAACAGCAAGCCGGGCCTCGGTGGCTCAGCCTGTAATCCCACGCCTTTGGGAGGCTGAGGTGAGTGGATTGCCTGAGCCCATGGGTTCGAGACCCGCCTGGGCAACTTGGCAAGACCTCATCTCTACAATAAATCAAAAAATTAGCTGGGCGTGGTAGCGCGCGCCTGTAGTTCCAGCTACGTGGAAGGCTGAGGTGGAAGGATCGCCGGAGCCCAGCAGGTCGAGGCTGCGGTGGCCGGGAGCGGCCACTGCACTCCAGTCTGGGCGACAGAGTGAGACTCCAACTCAAAAAAATAAAAAAATAAAATACATAAAACAGCAAAGAGGCCGGGTGTGGTGGCAAACACCTGTAATCCCTGCACTTTGGGAGACCAGGGCAGGAGGACTGCTTGAGCCCAGGAGTTTGAGACTTGCCAAAGCAAGATAGCAAGACCTTGTCTCTATAAAAAAAATTTTTTTTTAATTAGCTAGGTATAGTGGTGCATGCCTGTAGTGCCAACTGCTTGGGAGCCTGAACCCAGGAGGTCGAGGCTGTGGTAAGCCGTGATCGTGCCACTGCACTCTAGCCTGGACAACAGAGTAAGACGCTGACTCAAAAAATAATAATAATAAAGTAAAATAAAACAGCAAAGGAGGTTAGGCTGTGGAAGTAGAAGACCAGTTCTCAAGGTACTGGAGGGATTAAGAGGAAGTCAGAAATCCAGTTTGGAGCTTCCCAGCAGCCAAAGCAAAAAGGGAAATGGAAAAATAGTCATTTCTATGATTTATATTTATATTTTCCTAGGAAGGAAAAAGAAGTGTACACTTCAAAAAGTCTTCCTGGGGACACAGGGCTGAGAGAAACATCCCCCATGCGATTCTCAGTCCTTGGTGAGGACTGGGTCTTATTTTGATATTTCTGGCTTTTTAAATGTTTCTTGGCTTGGTGCGCTGGGAAAAGAAACCTCCTCTCCTGCACTGAGCCTTCTCCTTGGCACAGAGGCCTCCCGGTCCTGCCCAGTCCTTCTACCCCTTGCCTGGAATGTGAACAAACCTGCTAGAGAAACAAAAACACAACCGAGAGCTTTGCCAAGGCCCAGGGACCAGGCAGAAGAGGCCGGCAGGCTGCGGGAACTCACCATGCATGTCCATCATCCCTGGCGAGGAGCTGTTCTCTGGGGTAGTCACCTCCGAGCCACATTTCTCATCTTTGCCTTTTTTCTTGTTCTTGTTTTTCTGGAGAGGAAAATGGAACAGAAACCAAGTCACCAAATCACGTGTGTACATACACACTCGAGGCCCTGGGGAGTGGCATGAATATATTATTCTGAATCTTCTTGACGCCCCCAAGCCTCTGGAGGGTTTTCCTGGGCCTGCAAGTGAATGTGTTCCATGAGGGGCTGCATTCTGGGTCATGCCCGCTTTGGAACTGAAGAGCCTCGCGGGGGGGCGGGGGTAGTGGATTCTGAGGCTGGCCCAGCTCGGGCAGCCCGGGAAACAGGCCTGCCCGTCGTGGGGCCATCACCAGTGGCGCGCAAACACCTCAGCGGGCAGGAGCTGCCTCCTCCATTAGGGAGAGTCATCTGGGGAAAAGGCCACCGTCAGCCCAAAGTAGGCACAAACTGATGCCAGGTGAGCTGAGGAAAAGACAGAGGTCACTCATGGCCACCAGCTTCCGGCCCCCTGGGGCTGCCTTTCTTAAAGGGCAGTCAGCCGGCTTCCAGCACACAAATGCAAGAGTCAAGAAGGGAAAACCCTGGGAAGAAGGAGGGAGGAAAGGGATGCTTTCTGTGTGCCATTCCATTCGTGATGGAAATAGGCTGTGTCCACTGGTAAGAGACTCGTTAAATAACTGATGTTGCATTCATTCAACGAAATCAGATGCAACAATGACAGAGGATAAGGCGGCTCTTCATAGACTCATGGAGTGATCTGCCAGAATCTTTTTTTTTTTTTGAGTCGGAGTCTTACTCTGTTGCCCAGGTTGGAGTGCAATGGCAAGCTCACAGCTACCACAGCCTTGACCTCCGGGGCTCAGGCCATCTTTCCGCCTCTGCCTTCCAAGTAGCCGGAACTACAGGCACGTACCACCACACCTGGCTAATTCTTTTGATTTATTGCTGGTCCCGAACCCTTGGGCTCAGGCAATCCTCTTGCCTTGGCCTCCCAAAGAGCTGGGATTACAGGTGTGAGCCACCACACCCGGCTGAAATCTTAACACATTAAAAAATTTCAATATCACCAAGATGTAGAAAAGAAGGTGCAGAACACACAAACACCACCACTGGGGTAGGCAAAGGACAATTGTGAGTGTGTGTTCTTGGGTGCGTTTGTGAGCACAGGCTCCCTTTGGAAGGTTAAACAGAGACTGGAAACACTGGTTGCCTCCAGGGAAGAGAACTGGGTGGTGTGGGGGTGTGTGCACAGGGATAAGAGGGAGATTTATTAAAGAGATATACGGTAAAAGAGCAACATCTGAAGAGTACACAAATCCAACCAGACATTATGTAGACTGGTAGTTGCCGGGGTGGGGTGGGGAGTGACTGCTAACAGTTACGAGTTTTCTTTTTGGGATAATGCAAATGTTCTGGAATTACAGTGAGATGGTTGTACAACTATGAATATACTAACACTGAACTGTACACTTTAAAAGACTGACTTCTATGGTACGTGAGTCGTCCTAACTAAAAAAAAAACAACAAAAAAAAAACTGTTTTCAGGCCGTGCATGGTGGCTCACACCTACGATCCCAGTACTTTGGGAGGCCGAGGCGGGATAATGACTTGAGACCAGGAATTGGAGACGAGCCTGGGCAACATAGTGAGACCTCGTGTCTACAAAAAAAAAAAAAAAAAAAAATCAAAAGATTAGTTGGGCATGGTGGCACATGCTTCTGGTCCCAGCTACTCGGGAGGCTGACGGATTGCCTGAGTCCAGGAGGTCAAGGTTGTAGTGAGCCGTGAGCGTGCCACTGCACTCAGCCTGGGTAACGGAGACTCCGACTCAAAACAAAACAAAACTAAACTAAACTAAACACTAAAAAATCAAAAACACAAACTGTTTTTAAAGTAACCTTTGAATTTTGGTAACCTTTTACCTATTCAAAAGGATGAAATTTTCAGGAGTTCTAAAGCAAAAAATGGGTGCAATCACACAGTAGCTGGGTGCTTAAAACAGAAAAAAGCTCTCTCTCCACAATGCAGATCCCAGTCCCAACCTTCAGAGATCCAGCTGCCTGGCACAGGGCCTGGGAATCTGAATTTTATTGAGATACTCAGCCAGGCCAGGAACCATCATCCTAGGGGGAAAGTGGGCGGGGAAAGGGTGCACTGCACATCACGGTTCAGAGATGAAAAAGGCATTAGCATGTCTCCAGCAGCCATGCTAAGTATTCTCCGTGGTGATATCCTGCCTGTGCTTTGCTGCAGAAACCCCGCGAGCTGGAAGTCACTTCTCCACAGCACAAAAGAGGAATCTAAGGCCCAGCAAGGTGAGGCCACCTGGCCAACAGCAGGGCTGAAGCGGGCGGGCCAGTCCTTCACGACGGCCCATAGATTGCTTCCTCCCTGATCATATTCCACTTGGCACTTCCCTCCTGTCTGTTTCATGAGATTCTATAATTATCTTCCCCGAACGAGATTAGAAATTCCTTGAGAGCAGGGACCACGGCTTCTCAGTGCAACCGGCGTCTCTGCAACATCTCATATGGCGCGCGAGGCAGGGCGCCGGCCAGAGCCAGGCGCTGCCTGCCAGGAGCCTGCCCTGCTCTTCCTCCTGAGATGCGAAGGGAGATGGAGTCTCCATCTCTTTGGGGAGAAGCAGCCCTGGAGGCTCCGTGAGCCCAGACCAGAACCAGAAGGGACGACACATGTCTAACTTCTCAGCCCAGCACTGATCCACTCAGGGACGAGCATGTGATCACAGGGTGGAGAACAGAGTCTCAGCCCTGCCAGGAGACCCAAGCCTTAACCGCCTGGAAGGTAACTGAAGATGCTGGAGGGAGGATTAGCCCGTCTTTATGGAGGAAGCTGGACCCTCGTGCCATCTTGCCTCCCCGAACTCTCTGATCTTGGCTAGTCACTCCAAAGAGTGACTAGAGTCATGTGGGTGAGCCTGAGCCATCTTCCTGGATGAAATTACTGAGTTTCAGTGAACCGGGGCAGCAGGCCAGGAGGGAGGAACAGCCCAGCAAAGGCCTATAGACTGGACTTTGACTGGAAATGCAAGTAGCTGCCCTGGGGTCTTCAGAGGCCCGAAGCTAGAGAACCCTGTCTGCCATCAAGCCCTCCCAAGACGCAGCGCGGCCCCTCGAGCTCCCTCTAGTGGTGGAGGTCAGGATGGCTCTACCCACCGGGCAGCCTCCTGGCCCAGGCATCCCTGCACCAGGCTCTCTAACTCCTGGGGGCTATTGGTCACCACCAGCTTCTACCACCAGAAAGTTCTCCAAGAGCAGAGAGAACAAGCACTTTGGAGCCAGATGGACCCGAACTCGATTCACAGCTCTGGTGCTACCTGTGGGACTCTGGGGAAGCGCCTTACCCTCTCTGAGCCCGTGTCCTCACTTGCACAGGGAAGAGTTAAAAAGATGGACTTGATGGACTCGATGTGAGAGAAAGAAATGGAATGATGCACGTGAAGCCCTAACCCGGGGCCTGGTCGAGGGGCAGGAGCCACACAACGGGGCAGAAGCTGCCTGTCTGTGGGCATCTCCATACCTGCCCCAAACCATGGTGCCCAGGCCCTGGGGAGGGGCTCTTAGCTCAGAAGAAACAACTTGCAGGGACACCCCCCACTTCTGAGGGCCGAACTCTGGCACTGGAATATGGAGATGAGGACGTAGGTCCAGCGGCCTCTCCAGGCCTAAGCTGGGTCCTTCTGCTTCCTGGGGGGGCCTGGGTCCCAAGGTTCCACGACGGAGGGTGGCGGCAGACAACTCCCTATCCCCGTGGCAGGAGAAGCCAACCCCAGGGGACCAGCCCCAGATACTCACATCATCAACCTTTGGCTCCGTCACAGGGACCCACTTGTAGATTCGCAGGGACGTGTCACCGACAGTCACCCACTTCTTCTCCCTGTGGAAGATGAGGAACAGCCTGTTACCAGGGGGCTTCTGGGCAGAGGCCATACTCCCTCGGGGCAGCTGTGACTCGGCCGCTGCTTGGCCCGCGGGCTGAGAGAACGAGTTCCAGATCAGAGACGTGGGTTTGAATCCCAGCTCTGCCTCTTGCTAGTAGGGGCCCCTGGGCAAGCCTCAGTTTCCGCCATCACACCACATGGGGCCGTTGACCCCTCCAGGCTGTTGCCGGAAGGAAATGCTGGCTGAGATTGAGGGTGGGGAGGTGCTATAACCAGGACGCCTATAAATGACAGGGAGTCCCGCAGCACCGCCAAAGCCATGCAGCCATGGGATGGGCACTGCGTTCCTCTGGACAGCAGAGGAGGCTTCAGGCCAGTGGGTAGGACACCCAGGGTTCTCCTGGCCTCTTGGTGATGCTTCTGAGGTCAGGGAAGGAGGCTCGGGAGCACGCAGCGAGGGGCCCACTCTTACTCGGCTGGGTGAGCGCCGGCTGGAGCAGCCGAGTGCAGCCTGGGAGCAGTGGCCTCGGCCCGAAAACAGGTCACACGGTCTGGACCTGTGGGTGGCAGCCAGGCGGTAAGGGACTCGCGCCCCTGGTTCAGGGCTCCTAGTGGCCCTGTCTACACGGCTGCCCTGGCCACATTCCAAACTCCTGAAGGAAGTGTCCAGTTCCCCAACCGTGGGAGGCAGCTTGTGGATAAGAAGGAGACGATGACCAGCCACGAGAAGGGAGGAGGGATGGTTTCCATTCAAGATCCCAACGCCTGCCCCCGCCACGGCCACCCCTTGCCACCGGCACTTTTCAGATTACTGCTACAGCCAACCACCTTCTGTCCCTGACCTTGTACGTGCTGACTGTGTCCCTTCCAGCCCCAGACACCCAGTGGCCATACCCCTGAGGGGACTGAGGTCAGGAGAGCTCCCCAGAGGCAAGAGCTGGGATTGGAACCCAGGCTCCTAACTTGGGGCTCTGCCATCTCGGGAGACACATGAGGTCCCTGAGGAACCGCTGACCGCTCGGTGCGGACACCCGCACGGGCTGTTAGGGCCAGGAGGCACAGCCTCCTGCAGTTCTCTGCAGTTCTAGTGCAACAGTCCCCTAGAACTGGGAACCCCGTGTGGCCAAGCACCATGATCCGTGAACTGCCTGGCACCTGTTTCAGTTTCTCTGCCCAAACCCAGTCTTGGGTCTCCCCCTCCTTGGGTGCACAGCCCTCACGTGCTGCTGTGACACATTACTGCTCCCCACCCTGTGACCACAGGAGCTGCTGGGTACTTGAGCACACTCAAAACCAGACAGCCCAAACCACAGATGCCTCCACCCCCAAACCCTGCACTCGGGTCCCACACATCGCCTGTAGGAGAACACCAAGGCCTGGCTTTTTTTTTTGCAATACCAGTGACCATTTCTCGTACCTTCCACATGCCAGGTACTGCACATACTTGCTTTACTCTTTGCATAACCTTGTGTGGCAGGAAGTGCAAACTTCCTCATGTGACAGATAGAGAAACTGAGGCAAGGGGAAGCAAACTCATTCTCCCTCTTCCCTCTCCCCCTCTGACACCACATTGCTTTTAGGGACGGTCCCTCCGGCCCCCAACCCTGTCCCTTCTGGTGCAGAAAGAATGCAGGGAAGGCAGATATCTGAGTCACCACTCACATGCCTCCTGTTGGCTGAATGGACAAGCCACCACGGCACACTTTCGCCTTCTTGTGAATGATCAGAAGGTGCCTGGAAAGGACACGGCATTCCCAGGAATGCCCTCAGTGACAACAGAATAACCGTCACGATAGCCACTGTACACCAAAGACTTGTTACACGGCAGGCTTCATGCCAAGCACTTGATGTACACGCCTGTTCTCACTGAGTTCCCCAGAAGGCTATGAGAACGGGATGCCTGTCATCACATTTTATAGATGGGGACACAGGAGCTCCAGAGAGGTTGGACCACTGGCTTGTGGTCACACAGACACTAAGTGGCAGAACAAGGATCAGACACAGGCTCTGATCCCAGAGTCCACCTTCTGCTATTCTGTTGCCTGTGAAAATGAAGAATCCATTCTAAGGAGCACATGGGTCGCAGAAGCTGGAAAGAGAATGACAGATTGCTAGAATCCCATGCAAGTGGCCAAAGTCATTCACTACTCACAAGCCCTCGACCAGCTTCCTTGGCCGGGCCCCAGGAAATCAACACATTCGAGGTTTGATTGCATTAAAAAAAAAAAAAGCAGTTGACTCACAACACACAGGACACCTTTCAGGGCAAAAAGTGTGCCAGAGATCTGGGCTCTGCCGGCTGTGAAGGAGCAAGACAGGTTGGCAGCTGTAGCTGTTCCCAGGGAGGCCTCGGCAAGCCCAAGTCACAGACTGGCTGCAGCCAGGTCCTCGTGCCTCCCTCTGTCCCGGCCCCGAGTCGTGCCAGAGATTAGAAACTGTTATTTTTCTGAGTCGGTGTCTCACTCTGTCAACCAGGCTGGAGCGCAGTGGCACGCTCGTGGTCACCACAGCCTTGACCTGTTGGACTCAGGTGATCCTTTCGCCTCAGCCTTCCTAATAGCTGGAACCACAGGTGCGTGCTACCACGCCCAGCTGATTTTTTGATTTATTATACAGATGAGATGTCATCAAGTTGCCCAGGCTGTTCTTGAACTCCTGGGCTCAGGCAATCCTCTTGCCTCTGCCTCCCAATGTGCTGGGATGACAGGCGTGAGCCACTGTGTCTGGCAGAAACTGTTCTTCAGCTGCATTTCTTTTCTTTTTTCTTTTTTTTTTTTTTTTTTTGAGAAAGCAGGATTTATTGAGAGAACAGAAAGGCTCCCACAGTGGGAGGGGACCTAGAGGGGTTGCCCTTCAGCTGCATTTCTGGATGTGGACATCGAGGGGGCCCTTTGGGACAAAGGCAAGAACGTAAAAAACCCGACCTCTGGGCTAGACCTTGGACAGAGGCTTGGCTGGCCGTCACCCAGGAGGAGGGGACCGCGGGACCCAGGTGTTAAGTCACTAAGCAAGCACCAAGGAGGACAAAATGGATTTCACAGCACATCATGCGGGTGCCCCGGTTCAGGGCAGCCGCTGATTTCTCACAACTGCCCCCCGACCCCACCACCCCAGAACACACAGCCTCTCCCCCAACGAGGGTATCATCCCTGCCCCTCCATGAGGGGGATTAAGCTGTACCCATTACTTTAGCTCTGGAATGGCCAACAAGCAGTCCACAGGCGTGTTTTGTTTGGCCTGCACAGTACTTTTAAAAATTTGTATCTACTGCCAAACTTAAAAAAAAAAAATCAGACTCCACCAAAAAAAAATCCCAGATTTCTGGTTATTCTTGAGAACAAGATCAGGGCCCACATGGCCCGAGGAACGACCGCTGGCTCTAGATGGGCTCTTTGGCCTCCTCAGGCCCCCAAACTCTTGCCACTGGTGGGCACCCGAGGATCACCAAGGCCACCCGGCCACACCCCAACCTTGCCACGAAGCAGTTTCCAGCCGTGCCCTGAACCCTCCTGCCTCGATGGCCACTTGTAACCAGCCTGGCTGCAGTCTTTCTTTTTTCCCATCCGACTTTGGCTCCTGGGGTGAAAGGATGAAACGAAGTTCCAACTGTAAGAATATAGCCCCAAATGCTCCTCCCCAACACGGACTCCTATATAAACTGCAACTATCCACCCCAGATTCTCCAGGCTAAGACCAATTTCCAGTGTTCTCTGGGGTCCAGGTCTAAGAGCTAGCCAAGGAGACTACCTTGGGGGTCACCCACTGCCCAAGGGAACCCTGCTGACTTCCTTAAGAATGCTAAATCCCGCCAGGCTCGGTGGCTCAGCCTGTAATCTGGCGCCTTTGGGAGGCTGAGGTGAGTGG